CTGTCCAAAAAAATAATTCACATGCACAACCCTGTACCAGCTTCCCAGAGGAAACGTCTAATAAATGCATGCGAGAACGTGGACGAGCCCATTTCTCCTCGTGCACGCTCTGTTTAAAAGTTGCTGTTTGCATCGCTCATACAAGCTTACTTTCCAAAAGATTTGCAATATTTCCACTATGTCAGACCATGACTCACCACTGGTAAGTGAAAATGGGGACGAGCACATAGTAAGGCCTTACGTAAACATGTCACAGGAGGAACACTTATTTTGATGATCCACCTAAAAAAAGAACATCCTCCACTGTACCTTTAAGGAAAACTCTGGTACTTTTCCCAGCATATTAGTTAAAGGTTTTTAAAAGCTAAACAATAGAGTGGCAGGAAATTTTTTTTTTTGTCTTCATCACCAAACCATCCCTACTTCCATGTAATCGCTGTAATAATCCCATAGATGAATGACAAATGGATCCACAACTCATCTATTAATTATGATTTTGTTGTTGAAACACTCACAGTTTGAACTTGGTTTATTTACCACAGTTACCATAAAAAAATTTGTATTTTTTTTACTATTCGATAAGGAATTTATTGAAACTGTTATTTTTTTAAGAAAACAAGGTTTCTGTTATATGTGTGAAAAATAGAAATGCTACCTGTAAATATCAGACGCCCCTGTAACATGTTTGTTATCAATCATTTTTGCCTTATGTTTTTTAGCCGAAAGCTTATTAATCCTAACCTGACAACAGCCAGATGCATGTCTCGCTCCGCCTAGCTCCACTCACATACATCTGGGAACCCGCCATAGGAATTGCCTTTACTGAAGGCTGGGCCTTATCAAAACTCCTTGCATATGATTGGATAAGCCACTTGTCTGTCATCTTTATTGACGTGCTATTTCAACCACTCACACCGAAGCTAACCCGTGACGCTGTGAGAGGAGGAGCCATTTGGTAGATCAAGCTCTTGCCAAATCCGGTCGGGAGAAGGGCGAAAACATCGTTTCCACCAACAAAAGCCTTCAAAGCCGTTCTCTGATGTTCTTTTAATGAAACAATATCAGATAGATTGGACAACACAGAAGAAATAGCAGCATCAATGCTAACGCTTGCTTCCTCAATACGAGCCGCCATTGTTGTTGGAATCTCACGGTCGCTTCTCCCCTCCAGGACACATCCGCCCTGCGTCCTGATTGGACAGACCATAAATTCGGTTGGGGAAATCACTTTCAATGAGCAGGTTCCCAGATGTATGTGAGTGGAGCTAGGCGGAGCTAGACATGCATCTGGCTGTTGTCAGGTTATATTAATCCCAGAAAGCTTATTAATGTGGAGATCCTTTCAAAACCTTTACTTTCAGCAGAGGGATCATGTCTTCTCAAAGTAAAGATTTTTTAGGAAGATTCTTTGAAACAATCGTTTCCTTTTTTTTATTAGTTCACTTTTTCTGTCCCTAAGGGGAGAACGTGGTTTACAGTAGTGGTTAGGAAACGACGATTAAAAAAAAACAACAACAAACATTTTAGCTTAAAGATGAAAATGACACATCTTTACTGCTTCACTCTGTCCTATCATCTGTAGCACTTGTCCTCCCAAACGTAGTCGAGGTAAGCCAGCTTTGGCTAAGGTTCCCAACAAAGAAAATGGAGACATCTCCAATTCTGGTGTGTATCATGTTGAGATCAATATGGTAGCATGTAATGCAGCTTTAATAAATTCACATCTTTTCTGCTTTCAGTGATTAGCGGTACTAATAAAGCATCTTGTTCACAGGAAAGTCCACACTTCTTTCTTTAGATAGGAAGACCAAACTTTCACCGCTGGACCTCGTTTGGGCCAAAAGTAGAGGATACCCCTCATATCCAGCAATGGTGAGACCAAAGTTATTTGTGTACCGACAGGAGTTCATATTTACAGCCGGTTCATGACCCTTGTCTTTATTCCAGATTGTTGATCCTGACATGCCTCAGGAAGGACTCCTACATAATGGCATCCCCATCCCTGTGCCTCCTGGGGAGGTCCTCAAACTGGGTGAATGGAGACACACTGACGAAGGCCACGAGCTCTTCTTAGTGCTTTTCTTTGACACAAAGAGAACTTGGTAAGATATTTGACACCGTACTAAAACCCTGGATCCTTCAGCCTGAATTCAGAAGGGTAGGTTCTAAAACGATCTGTGTTTTACAGGCAGTGGCTGCCTCGAAACAAACTACTGCCTCTGGGAATGGATGACACTGTAGACAAACTACGCCTGATGGAGGGCAAGAAACCCAGCGTTCGGAAGTCTGTTCACACTGCGTACGACCGCGCCATGGTGCATTTAACCCATGTGAGAAGAAATGTTAACTTTACTCCCTCCAATTTTATATAGAGCATATTTTAAAAAGATTTTATCATTCTAAATTAGCCGTCTGTAGAAATTTACAGAGGCTTCCTTAAAAGTTCTTAAAGGAGTAAATAGTGATAGTATTTGAAGTTTTTTTTGCAAAGAAAAATGTTGCTTGGTTTCAAAATTTATGAAGAAAAGGTTCTGTGTGTTTTCATAAATTAGTTTATTTATTTTCTATGTAGAATTTTCAAAAGGTGTTTTCCACAACCACTTGTTGCTGTGTGTTCTTATGAAGTTTGTGAATCAGGCCCAAAGTGACGGAGGCATGTGATGGTTTATTGTTGAAGGAATTGTTTATGGTTCGAAACATATTTAGATTGTATTTGCTCTCGAAATGTCACTGTGTTTAATGAAGTATGAAGTTTCACCTTAACATGTTTAAACCTGGATTTTTTTTCTTTTAAACACACCGTTAAGACCAGATATTTACATACAGTTTAAAAAAAACGTTCTATATTGAGAGGAAGTTAGTTACTTTATAGACCATAGGATTTTAAAGTAACCCATACTATAACTATTTCAATAGTTTGGATTCGGTTTGAACGATCCAAGCTTTAAAATTGTGGCTGATGCCTGACGAGTTGTTCAATATTTCTAAATGATGTTCCTTCCTTAGATTCATTCAGTTATGTTTATGCCCTCCTGATACAAACAAACACCCATGCACATGTCCACCATCTTACTATGTCTTGTTCTCAGATTTGCTCTGCGACTCTTTTCCCTGCATATATACCAATGGTTGTTTTTGTATTATCAGATCAAAGTATATCTTCAGATTAGAAGTTTGGCTTCTTCCCCTCTGTTTGACCTTTCAGGAATGTTTGTAAAGTACTTGATTTTCTGACATAATTCTACCAGCTTAATTCAGCATCTTTTGGTCATTTTGCTTTTCTTCTATTTGTTGACATGCTGGTCTCTAGGAAACAGGACCTATCCTCTTTTCTGAACGGTACGATGGGAGCGTATGCAAATATCTGGTTTCAAACAGAAGTTACCAAACTTTTCCATTAATTCAAAGTCAACTTTAGATTATTTTTTCTCTTCAAGCTCAGTCTGTTATATTTTAGTTTTTTTTTTTTGCCATAGAAGTCTTTAATACCTACCCAAATGTTTTCTTCCAAAAGGACAGTGCCAACATTTTTTTACACGTTTACACATGCCGTTGGTGAAACTGTTTTGGTGTTTGATTATTTTCCATATTGTGAAACTGTTAATATGTTAGTAGATTGAGAGCTGTCGGTGCAGATACCCCTGCAGAGGTGAAAAAAAAACCCACTGAGAAACTTTTCTTTCTAAATCTGGCTGGAATGACTCGAAAAGCACAAATGGTCTAATTTTTGGAAAAGAAAAACCTACACGAACGGTGTTTCCTGGAGCCATATATATATATATATATATATATATATATATATATATGGAAGAATATGTGTGGCAAAACCTACTGTTGTCTGTTAATGTACAGCTTATACATGTATACAATCTGTGTGGTAAAAGTGCATGTGTATAGTTTTGTAAATATGTAAATGTATGTTTATATTCGCTTACAGGAAGTAATTTAAGGAATGCAAAAATCAAGTATAGAATTTAATTTATGTGTTGCCATAGAGGGAGTTATTTAAAAACTGAATTATTAAAAAGATTTATGTATGAAGCTGAGTAGCTCTTTATAGTAGTGTTGGTGTTTACCAACATGTCTGAGGAAAATGGAGACATGGTGGTATACGCCTGTAGGCAGTAGCCTACAGATTTTTTTCTTTTTGATCATTCTCAGTGGCAGATTTTTTAATCTTGTCCTTTAAAATGTTCTGCAAGATCTATTGTCTGTCTAGGACAATATTTTCTCACAGGAATAAATGCTGTTTGAAAGTAATTCTTCTGTTGCTTTTGATTGACCTTTTATTTATTTATTTCTAAGTTTATAAGTCATTTACCCAAATAGATTTTTTAACAGATACAAACTTTAAAGCTGTGCATGAGCCCAGAAGCTTTGATCCAAACCATTGCACTGTAGCTCTGGGTTTTTCTCTCGAACTTGGCTGCATCCGTGTTCCCATCAGGTTCCTGTCCTTGCTAGAGAAAAACATCTCTAATGCATAATGCTGACACCATGTTTTATGTCAGTGGATCTGTGCATGAAGGGCTTCCAAAGAGTTTGGTTTCTACAGTTTTACTATATTTTTTTTAAGTATGAAAGTGAGAGGAGAAAGGATTGGTTTTTAAAGACTGTTTTCCGGATCCTATTGTCTTAATGTCCCTTCTTCCTTCCTCATACTTTTTCCCTTTTAAGTCTTTTGTCTTTAAGTGCATATTACTTGTTTACCTTATGTAAGGTCTTTCCTTTCTCCTTTACTTCAAGCCAGGTTTACCTGTTTGTTTTTCGCTTTCTTCACTTATGTCTATATTCATTCCTTCAGTCCCTCCTGTCCTTTTTCCTTCATTTTTTCCCCACCCTTTCATTCCCTTCTTTGCATAGATAAATTATTTAAAGCCCGTTTAACATTAACCATTTATTTATAGCTGATTTTACTATTTATTGGAATAAATAAACTGGCAGGAGGCTGGAGATCTACAAAAGTTACGGGAAATTTCCCAGAAAAAAATAAAATAAAATGTGTGCACTCCGAAATTTATTTCATGAAACAAAAAACACTGTTAAGACTTGAATCGACAGAAAATACCTCAGGACTCACGAGTGTGAGGACATCATGTATAGTCTCTTAAGAAGACAGTCCTTGAAAGAGGTCAAAGAGCTCGACGCTTCAGGTATGAAAGTATCTGAAGATCAACATGAGGCTTGTTTTCTTTAGAAAACATCTAAATGTTTCGCTCTGCTGAATGCGAGTACCAGCTGTAATGAAACCCTGCAATTTATTTTAAAACATCATCCATGAAGGTCAGTTTCTTCTGGCAGTTCCAGTGTCATCATTCCAGTTTATATTGACCTAAAAAAAAAAAACTATTGCATACTCCCAGCTCCCCAAAATGCTAACATCTGACCTACTTTTCTTTAGTAATAACAAACAAGATTGCTATAGCTTATGAACAAACTCATCTGATACATTCAGAGTCCATGAGGAAATATTCTCTCTTTTTGTAATAAAACAATATAAAATCTTTTTTACTTAAATATTTTCCCCCAATTGTGTTGTACCACAGTTCAAACTAAAACTGCTTCGGCCTGATGGTCTCTAAACAAAGGCGTCTCAGAGATAACATGCTCCCGTTCCTCAGGTAAAGGAAGAATACTAGCTCTTTAAATAAGCTAAAATGTAGTGTCCGATTCTACTTGTCAGTTTATGTCAAGTCCAACATGTCTGAAAAACAGATTCTGAAAAATACCTCTGGGTCAAGTGTAAAAATTGAGTGAGGCAGCAGCTCTAAGAGTCCTATAGGAGCGATAAGAAGCCATTATCTGTGGTGTCTTGCTGATCTGATCTGCTGCTTCTTGAGCTCTTGCTGGGGTTAGGAGTGGTCGAATACTTAGGGGGGTATCTGATGAAGAGGCGGTCCTCCTCCTTCTTAATCCATCTCAGAAGCTTGGTGATGGCAGTAATGGCACAGGTCTTTGTCACCAGAGGGCTAAAGCAGGTGTAGAGCTCAAATTTGCTTGTGACCTAAAAAGAAAACAAGACAAAACAGAATTTTTTTCCCAAGTAAGTTATCAGACTTGTTCAAATTAGTAGCATGAAACTGACCCATTGATGTAGATTAGGGATAAGTACAAACGTTCTCCTATTCATTAGTGCATTTAGCAGCCATGCCTTCAGATCGCATGATGCCAACTTTGCTGAGCTCTATTTGTTACCCAGATTTAATATTCTGCATCAGCCTAAAAAGCAAAAACCTTTGTCGTTTGTTCTCTAGTAGAGATGTGTTGATAGGACAGCAGCCCTCGGGGGCTGACTTTGGCAAGCCCTGAGTTAGATTTAGAGGCTCCACTGATATTTGTAGCTATCTACATGGAAATTACACACATATCTCCAAACCAACCAGCTTTACCTGAAACCATATGCTGGCTGATGATTGAGATTTAGACACAATTAATCCCAAGCCAATCTGAACTGGTTTTGAAATATATTAGGTGAGCTAATAATGAGCTCCTCAATGTATAAGTTTATTTGCAGGTTAAATGCATCTGGAAACGATATTATCTTGTCACTTACAATTCGTTATCAGACTAAGCTGTGGACACACTGGTATTCCTGTCTTCTTAAAGTTCCTATTTAGTCAATAATGGTACTTGTATTGTGCTTTTTATCATTAACTATTTTTTCTTATTTTATGTATGTATTTATTGGACCATGAGTCCAGAATATAGTTTTATCAGTCTTATCTATCCATCTCTGACCAACCTTTAGATCTAGCCACTGAGGGCAGGTGTCTTGCAGCTTTCACATCAGCTCCAAAGTCCTGAACAGGCACATGTGGCCTAAATCGGGTTAAATATGTAATGTTCTCTTACAACCTCCCTTGGGAGGAACACCTCCTAAGCGAGGCATCAAGAGGGCATCCGAAAAAGATGTATGAGCCACCTCAGCTGACTCCTTTTGATGTGGAGGAGAAGCGTCCCTACTCTGAGCCTCTCCTGGATGACTGAGATCATCACTCTAAGGGAGAGAACAGCCACCCTACAGAGAAAGCTCATTTCAGCCGCTTGAATCCAGAATCTTGGTTTTTTGGTCATGATCCAGATTTCACGACCATAGGTGAAGGTAGGAGCGTAGACCGACCCATAAATTAAGAGCTTTGCCTGTTTTGCTCAGCTCTCTTATCCACAACAGATCGGTGCAGCGTCTGCATTATAGCAGCAGCAACGCCGATTCGTCTCCTGCTCCTTTTTCCTCTCATCTTTGAACAGAATCCCAAAATACTTGAACTCCTCCACCTGATGTAGGGGCTCTTCTCCAACCTGAAGGAGACAATGCACTTTTTCAGATCGAGAACCATGGCCTCGGACTGCGAGGAGCTTATTCTCATCCCGGCCGGAACCGCCCCAGTGCATGCTTTAGGTCTTTTAATTTTAGCATAAATCATCTTATTTCATTGGCAAATTTTAATACTGCTCAAATCAAGGGAAAATACACATTTCAGGAAGAAAATTTTACGTTAACTTATAAGAGAAATATTTCAAGAAGTCTGATTTCCCTCCCTCAAATGAGCAAATTTTAGAACAAATGCTGGAGACGCTGAAAGATGCGAAAAAATGAGACTGAATTTAGGCCAATAAGCTGAGCTCAAATGAGCATGACGGCCACAGAAGGAGTGTTTTAACCGCGTTGACCTCATTATTTGCACATATCTATGTAATAAGACTATGGTGAAAATGTGGTCAGACCATTATCGACTCATGCTGAATGCGTCCAGGCAGGAGAGCACATCAGCTACCTTCTTCCCAACAGACAGAGCCAGCTCTGGAATCAGGGGTTTGCTGACTTTGTTCAGAGTTTTGTTTCGGTTTTTCTCACCCAATAAAAGTGGCTTTCAGGTGCAGCCTTGCTGATAAACAATTATTAGAGGGAGTGCATGTTCCTATCAGGCATTAAAAGCCCTTATTTTATGTAACATTTCTGCCAACTTCTTCAAATGTAATCAAAATAATCTATTTCTGTTGATCCTAATGACCAGAAATAGACAGACTTCATTAATTCGAAAAAAATACGCTGTTTGAAAAAGCAAAAACAAGGAAGCATGTTAGAACTGTTTAGAGCACATGCATCCATCTTTTAAAGCTCGTATTTAATGCCTGACAATAATGAGGCTGTAACCCCAACTATGAGCTCCTTACCCAGGCTAGCAGAGTTTCCCTCTCAGCGACATGGTAGATGAGCTTGAGGGGTCGTGAGGTGCTGTGGATGCGGCTGTGCATGTATCGATACAGATCCAGGAGCCGCATTTTCTCCTCCTCGCTGCTGTATGGAGCCTCCATCTCTGGACTACAATCAGGTTAAACACACAGAGTCACAAGCAGCTGTCAGACAATAACTGCAGAGCAATAAGTCAAAGTCACATCTACACACACATACCTGGTGAACTGGGTGAGCTGGCGGTAGTTGTCTGGCACGTCGAAGGGCTTGTACATGAAGTGCCTGAGGTCTGAGACGCCAACCTGACTCACGCTGTACGACTGAGCTTTGGCAATGAGGCTGAGGGAGTTCTGAGCCAACATGGCCTCCTCGATTTTCCTCTTGCACTCAGCTACGGAGTAAAAGGCCTCCTTGTCTGTGGAGAGCAGCAGCAAACAAACCGTACAGTCCGGGGGGTCCAGGTAGGAGATGTATGCATAAAAATAGCAGTCAGGGTTAAAGAGGGGCAGGCAGATCGGAGTCCAGATCTCCCCAGCTTGAAAAGCAGAAGAAGCTCCGATGAGGTTCAGCAGCAGGTGGACATCGGCCGGCGCCAGCCTCGCATCCTCGATCACGGTTTTCTCCTGGACGATGGTTAGCAGCTGGTTTTTAGCAATCAGGATGGAGAAAACCAGATTGGGGGTGATAGCTTTCTGCAGGATCTGGCTGAGAGAATCCCTGAGAGAGGAAGCAAGAGGCAAGCAATGCACTGCTGCAAGCAGAAAGCTGGGGTCTGAATCTACCAGGTTCAGCAGACCGTCCAGGATCTTCTCTGAGCCTGCGAGGAGTCGCCTCAGGTCGTAGTTCTTCTTGTGCTCAAAGATGCGCGTTATGCTGGCCTGGGTCAGCATGCTGATGATCTGGTAATATACGTAGAGGAGTTCTTCACGCAGCTGCTGCTCAGACTGACGACTGCTGGAGACGCACACCAGAACCAGAGGCCCCTTCTGTAGGAACACCACCGTGTTCTCCTCTGATGGAACACAAACACAATAAAGGTAAAGAGGGTTAAAAAAAAAAAAAAAAAAGAATCCTAAAAGCAACAAGTGCAACAAGGACTTTGACATAACATTTAGTCAATAACTATAAACCTGAGTTCATTTTATTTTTTTGTACAAAGATATATATAAATTCAAGATGGAGGGCAGATGAACGGTTTTCAAAAACAATCTCAGATTTGACATTTGCTTCTTTAGCACACAAAACTCCTATTTAAAAATACTTTTAAATAGATTTTAAAAGCATTTCTTATGTGTATTAATCTCCAACTATAGCTGCTGTATTTTTTTCCTCATCTTCTGGTACCGACCCTAAATATAATGCTACGATATACAAGGCTAAAATGTAAAGATCTGGATGTCCCTCCATATCGACACATCACTAAATGTAAAATTCTCTACAGACTGAGGGAAATCAAACGATAACACAAATGCAGTTAGCTGATAAAATTAGCTGAGTTTACCCTGAGAGTCAGTGGGCTCACCTGAATAAACTGAGCGGATGATGTTATCCCCGCTTTGAACAAAAGACACCAGCGCCATCATGACCCCCATGGTTGAAGAAAGAGCCTCTTCGCTGCCATATCGGGAATAAATGGGCTTTCCAGCCTCACTCAGAACAAAAACATGCTTCCTGTGTCGCCGCCAGCTGTCGGCAGTGACATCCTCATCACGGTGAGACGTAAACGAAGGAGATTCCTGAATCCCCGTCTCAAGTAAAGGAGATGATCTCCCTTTTACGCCTATGCCTTGTTCTTCTAGCTTGGCCTTGGCCAGCATTGTAACAACAAACTCCCCAGAGTCGCTCTGAGCGTTGTTGATGGCAGCATCCTCAGTGGCTCGCTCAGCTGGGTGGGCCGCCAGGTTGGTCTGACACTCTGAGTACTGTGTCCCGGAATCTGTTCCAGGGTTGGGCGGAGGCCCTTCGTCCAGACCAGAATCCTCCACTGAAGCATCAGACGGCTGCAAAGTTGCATGCTCACTTCTGTTAACGCTGCTGCAAGCATTGGTTGCCACTTGATCAGGAAACATGTGGTTCCCCAAGAGACAGAGAGAAGTGGCAAGGGTGTCTGCTATGGTGAAAGCAAAACTGAATTAGTTATGAAATAAACATTGTTGACCAAATAATAATGGGATCATTCCCAGCCAAGAATAATAAAGGCAACAGGAAATACAAGTAAAAAAAAAAAAAAAAATGTTATTTTCAAGAATCTCACAAAAATCTTCATCTGGAGAGTTAAAGCTTCACAGAAGCTAGTTTTGTTTTAACTACCTTTAAAGCATTAACTGGCTGATGTTTAAAGAAAGATTTTTTTTTTTTACTTTTTCTCTGCTTTTGCAAATGGAAGATCGAAGCGGCTCTATGTCATTTTACTCACATCTGACTATTAAACATCTACCATTAAAATAATGATCTTAGTGTTCAGGAAGTAAAAATTACAGCTTTTATTTTTTTAATCTAGGTAAAGTAAAATCGTTTTGTAATTTGTAGTGAATTTCCTTTTGGATCAACCTCTCATAGAATAATGTGATATTTCAACCTTTCAGAGTTAGTCAGCACAGGAACTGTGAAATAATCAAAATAAATGCTAAATATTCTATACATAAAGTCAACTTTTTCTCCCCCCCTTTTGTTTACATCTAATATTATTTTGCAAGGATGAAATAATTTAAACAATTTTGACATTTGTGCTACTGTTATATGACTTCTTATGATTAAATAGCTTGTTTATATTCAAAGCTTTTTTTTTCACTTTAAATTAATTTAACTTTATTGATCTAATGTGGGAGAAATTCACCTCTGCATTAAACCCATCCCCTTGGGAAGCTGTGGGCTGCCATCATGGGGTGCACGGGGAGTATTGGATTAAGTTGGGGTTAAGGGAGACCCACAGTGGCAGTCTGTCGGAGTGGGACTCAGGATTCCAAGCTCTATGCCCTTCCCACTAGACTTCCACTCCCCTCTAAAGAATACCATAGAGTAAAACGTAGTACTGGTTTGAAAAAACTGGTTTTAAATGACCTGTCCACAAATTTTACAAAAAAAATATCCATCTAATTCTGCCAATTTAGATATCTATGTCGAAACCTGAAGTAATACTTTCCTTTAATGTCACTTCTAATGTGATTTAAAATCACGGTCACTTCCATTACAAATTTTATCTTTTTATCTTCTTCCTTTTATCTTTGCATAAAAAATATGTTAAGGTTAATCTGGAGTTTAGATTATATTTTTCACAGGATTTTGTAATTCTAAATCTAAAACTGTAGTCCAGCCTTTTTTCTCTCTCTTTGCTCTCTGTGTGGTGCTTCTCCCCCATGTTAATGTCAAGCTGCTGAAATTTGAATTTCCCTTAAAGTAAAGTCATATTTACCAGGTGGGTTGCTCTCTGTTGGAGGGTCAGATGTCTCCTCTGCCTGCCCCTCTGTGTCTTTATGATGGTCTACCTCCATGATACCATCCCAGTCCCTAGAAAACAAAGGAATCCACATTCAGCTTCATTAATAAAGCACTGAGGTGTGATAACCTCATGAATAAATGTACTAATCAATGAGGTGACCTAAAATCAGGAGAGAGTGAACACCTTAAAGACAGCAAACAGACGCAGAGTCCAATCTGATTACAGCTTCAGCAGCAAATACAGTGTTACTCACCAGCAGAGGACGGTTATTAAAAAGAGTTTATTTTAAAATAAGTTTCCAAACAAACATAGCTGCCGGTTAATGCAGTTTTCCTTTATAAAATAAAACTCTCTGGCGGTGAATACGGACACAGCAAATGCTCACTATAGAGGCGAAGCTAACAGAAGCTAACAAGGCGAAACACAAACAGATGGATTTCATGGCCTCGGCTTCAACCAACTCTCTTTCTTAAATTTGACAAATAAACACAAACGACAAAACTTACGTTTGTAAAATGTCCAAACGTTGACTTTAAAAAAATACAAAGCACTACAATAACTTCACTGTGCAGCACGGTTGCAAATGGGCTGACAGGATGAGAAGCCGAAAACAAATCTTGCTCTTACAGCGGCGAACTTCCGGAGTCGACGATGACGTAGTTCACGTAGCCAATAAGAATGCTGGTAGGAGCGGTTAAGCCCCGCCTATAAAATCTTAAAATCAGAGGTACCGGTACTCAAAAACCTAACCACAGAGAGATGATAGTGATAATTATAGGATGGGTAGAGGAAGTAAGACCAGACAGTCATTTGTATTTTATATTCTGTAGCAATTCTTCATTGTATTTTAAAAAAATATTTACCCATTAATATTCAATTCAAGTTTGTTTATTTATATAGCGCCAATTCACAACACGTCATATCAAGGTATTTTACAGTTAACCAGCCCATACAGTCAAATTGATTAAAAGTTTTCTATCTAAGGAAAACAAGTTGATTGCATCGACTCATTGACTTGAAGGCAATCTCTCACACTAAGCATGATTGTAGCGACAGTGGAGAGCAAAAACTCTCTTTTAACAGGAAGAAACCTCCAGCAGAACCAGGCTCAGTGAGAGCGGCCATCTGCCGAGGCCGACTGGGGTTCATGGAGACAGAAGCAGAGATATAAAAAGCAGCTGTAAAAGGCGTCCCAGTCCAAGAAACACACAGCCAGGCAGGCGAGCTCTGAACCAACTCCCATGTCAGAGGATGAAGAGAGCACATCCAGCCAGTCACAGTCAGAGAATTAGGACACTGGAAAAACAGGCCGATCTCCAACATCTATAAACAACAGTATTGATGGCAGCAGCACAGCTGATATTTCTCTCCAGGGTGGAGTCACAGCCAAACAGGGACAGATGAAGCTACTATGAGAAAAGGCAGAGAGAGCATAAAGTTAGACATTGAACTAACAGATTCTGTACAGTTGAAGAATAGAGATAGAATGAAGCAGAATGATTAAAAAGGGGTCCCTATGTCCTCCTTAAAATGTCATTTAAATCAATAGTGAGGAAAAAAATAATGCAAATCAGGAATCGAGACACTTTCCCACATTCAAAACACATGACAAAAACACTGGGCCATCAATGAATCAATGATAAAGTAAGAGCTTTATAACATATAAGAAAATTCAAGTATTTAGTGTGAATTAGAATCATTACTAAGAAAAGACATTAGATTCAACACCACATCATCATTGGTAATGTTCATATTAAACGACCAGGGACAAAAAAACATGTACTGGATAGTACCTGCTGTAACTTTTAAATTTCTCTAGAATTTGTTGTGAAAGGGCTTTCAAAATAAACAGTGTATTGATAACAGGTTGTTCATTTCAAAAGATAGTTCCTTTCAGTAATTTAGTGGAATTAGTGCATTAGCTTTCTCTACTTCAGGCGTGGCTTAAAAACAGGAAATGCAACATTGTTGGATCCCATCCCAGGCACTCAGGCCACAGTCCAGACCAGTTGTTCACAAACTCTTGAACAGGCTCTGCTTCTCAGTTCTCTCCATGCTGTGCTTATCCCTGTTGCTTGTGTAGGTTGTTCTAAGACTTTTTCCGTCCCCTAAATCTTTCTCTCATATGCTTTGATATTTTATTATAAAAAATCCCATTTTATTGATCTTGCAGTCTAACGTGATTTTATGTTTTATCTGGTGCAAGTCATAGTAAAATTACAATTAAATATGTTAAGATACATTTGATAATGAATTTGAAGAAAATCAGCAAAAACAGCAGACATAAGAGACTGGAACATAAGAGACACTTTGCGTTGCGTGTAATGAATCTACGTATAAATCAGTTTCACTTTTTGAATTACTGAAATAAATTAAATTTAAGTAATATTCTATTTCACTGTGATGCTGGGACTACTAGACCATTCATTTACAGTTCAACCATCTGTCCAGTAGGTGGCATCTTTAGGGTTGTTGCCAACCGCCGAATAAGAGCAGAAACAGAAGATCGTCTTTCCAGTAGATGGCGGTAATACGCATCAATAAGTTGCTTGCAAACAGCTATAAAAACAAGAAGAAGAAGGAAAAAAAAAAAAAAAAAAAAAAAAAGGAGGAAGAGCAGTAGAACGGTCCCGCACCTTAAGAGACCGAAATGATAGAAAGAATACAAGATTTATTAACTTTAATATTATAATTAAAAATCATTTGGGGGGGGTATATATATATATATATATATATATATATATATATATATATATATATATATATATATATATATATATATATATATATATATATATATATGAGAGAGAGAGAGAGAGAGAGAGAGAGAGAGAGAGAGAGAGAGAGAGCATCCCAATCCACACTCCATTCCAGTAGATGGCGGTAATACGCATCAATAAGTTGCTTGTAAACCGCTATAAAAACAAGAAGAAGAGGGGGAAAAAAAGAAGAAGAACAGCAGTAGAATGGTCCCGTATGTAAACAGTGAAGGCATCATACCTTGCAGAAGCAAAGGGGTGTTATGAAAGTGACTAAACCAGCAGCTGGCATATTCCGTCCCAGCGTTAACCGTTGAAGCGGACAGCATGGATGAGTCGTGGGATTTTGAGTTTCTGTCCCGCATCGCTGACAGCTGCCTATCGTTCCTCTCCGAGTTTGTGGACGATTGGCTCGCCAACGACATGAGGGTCTCCATCTTTAAAATCCTTTTCAGTTGGCTGGTTTTTAGCCTCATCGCGATTCATTTTGCATGGAAGGTCTACGGGAACACAGTTAACGACATGTATTACCGACAAGGTGGGTGTGTTTCGTTCCGCACAGGGATATTATGTTTTGTAAAAACCAAGCTAGCCCTGTTAGCATATACTCTGTTTACATTCAGGGAGCGGACAGAACGGAGGAACCCCGGAGGCTGCTCCTCACCTCAGTGGATGGTGGGTGTTTGATGTCAACGTTACACGACTGTCTTCTCTCATTTCTTTTAGTTTAATAAGTCAAACGATTAGGTTTGTTTCCAAAGTGACAGCCCGCTTTAATGTCATCGTCATGGTTTTTTATTGATGTTTTGTATTTTTCTGTTATCTTGCAGGGAGAGTAAAACAGGAGACAATCTGAAGAGCCATCGGGATTAGAGGAATACTCCTTTTTAAATTATGGGCTGGACATTTTAGCTTTTGAGAAACTGAATGAACAGTTTTGATCATTTGTAGATATAAACATCAGGTTTCTAGCACACACACACACATATATACGTATGTGTGTTTATCTGGTGAAGTTGTGAATTATGCAATTAAAATAGTCAACCGGTTTGCAAAATAAACTTTAAATTGAAAAAAGAAAGATGTGCTGTTTATACTTTTCAGCATAACCCAAAACAGTAGAAAGTTTAAATCACGAGTTTCAGACATTTTTTTTCTAATAAGGCTTTTGTAGCTACTGGTCCTTTTAGCATATTGTGATCAAATTCATTGATGCACCCCAGACCATCACTGACTTTGGGTACTTGACACTGGACCTCTGGCATTTTGGCATTTCCTTCTCCCCAGTCTTCCTCCACACTCTGGCATCTTGATTTCCAAATTACATGCAAAATTTGCTTTCATCCCCCCCCCCCCCCCCCCCCCCCCCCCAAAAAAAAAAAATAAATCAATCTAAGAGTAGTCTGTGTTTATTTGCAAGCTGACAGCAAGATGGTAGATTTAATTAATGAATGTAATTTGACATTAAATTTAGAAAGTGAACTTCATCAGATATGAATAAAAAAGAAAATCTTGAAGCAAAGTCTCATATGGTACCAATTTTTATTTGAAAGAAATGTATCTGTTAGATCCTATTTTAGGATTAATAGTCAAGGTTAGAATATTTTTACAAAATTTGTTGTTATCAATTATAGTATAATTATCAAATTAATTTATTAAAACTGGAAATAGATGCACAATATATTTCATAAATATATTTATATATATATATATATATATAGATTCATTATTACTGTTCAATTACAGAACTGCCCGTTATTTTCCAAAATTACCATTAAATCCATGTAACTCCTCTCTAAACGTCTAATTAAAAAAATAGACTATATACTAACAGAAAGACTCTGTTAGTAGAAATAATCAGTAGAACCAGGCCCAGTGTGAGGACCCATCTGCTAAATCTGGTAATTTGTAAAAAAGAAAACCCTATAAAAACTTTTTAATGCATATGAATAAAAAAAAAAACTGACATGATGATCCACTGGTTTTTGTCACAATGGTTTGTTTTGGTTTTAACTTATTTTGATGGGGATGGCTGGGATAAGCAGCACATGTACATCCATGACATTAGTACAGGTCAGGCCAGGTACCAGTAGACGCTGTGCGCCTGAGAGACGAGAAAAAAAAGTGTAAGAGTCATTGTTACTGAGGAAGCTGTCAACGTCTAACCCCTGTGCATGTGCTTCATCATACAGCCCCCCATCAGTTATGGCTCCTGCAGCCTCTGTTGGTCCATCCTGACCATCGGTGCCACCGCTCAGAAACACGGGCCCCTGAGGGGGGAGCTTCAGGCCTCTCATTTCCAGTGCCACTCTTAGAGCCAATTCCTGGTTCCGCCCACCTCGCCCTTTTCCTGTCAACTCCACAGTGGGTTCTCCTCCAGCTAACAGACATGTGGCGCCCCAACCTTCAGTTCGCCCTTCGTCCATCACCTGCATGGTCCGGCACAGATCCCAGCTCTCCACGCCCACGTCGGGCCCCAGCCTCAGCACATCAGCCGCGATCTCTGGAGGCGGCTCCTCATAGGAACAGGCGAAGCGAGCCAGAAGGCCGTACATTCTGGAGACCATCCTCACATCTCCACAGACTCCTGGTGAGAGCACAACAGGACGGAAACCTAGCTCTCGAGCACGCCTGCCGGCACATGTTAGTGCAAGAGTATTGGAGCCAATCACAACGTTTAGAGCCTTTTCAGATGAATCGACGTCCCCCGTGTTCTCTTTCCAGCGGGGACCCTGTCTGGCAAGCACTTCCTTTACTGATGCTGGAATAGAGTTGTGCAGCTTGTATTGTTCAAGGATAGATAACAATTCCTCTGGCCACACCTCACATGCCACTGTTGGGCCACTTGCTATCAAATCAAGCGGGTCCCCAATCACATCAGACAGTGTGAGTGAAACCACCTTTGGTAAAACAATTAGAAGATCACTAATTAGAAATATGCTCTTTTTCCAATAAAAATATATATTTTGAAATACCTGCTGGGAGTTACCTGTGCAGGGTGAGCATGGTGTGCAAGCCCTCCACCTTTCAACAAAGAGAGGGATCGACGTACTTTGTTCAGCTCTTGGATGGTGGCACCAGCGGCAGCAAGTCTGCGGGTGACATCAAGCTTCTCTTGAAGCGAGATTGGAGGAATTGGTGCTGGTAAGAGTGCAGAGCCTCCACCTTGACAGAAACAAACCTGCTGTGAAACCCTAACAATCTGATGTGACTATTAAGAGAAATGCACATGCTTTTACCTGATATTAATACAAGCAGCAAATCTTTTTCGGTCAGTTCACTGGCTAACTGTTTGATCCGTTCAGCTGCTCTCACAGAGTCATCATCAGGTAGGTTGTTTTTGGCTCCTTCCATGACTTTGATCCGGCTGTCTTCCTTCAGCAACAGATGGCTGCAATCGATACAAAGAATAACATGTAGAATAACATTCTTATCCATATTTTAGGTTACTTTGGGTATTCAGACTAGCACTAATTTATTAACGTGCCACTAATAATTGTAAAGTGAAAGAAAACTGTATACTTAATTTAAAAATGTAGTTAAATGTCATCCCTAAAAGGATTTCTTCCAAGGTTGCCCTGTGATGCACTCTAAGGGCCGTTCTAACAATATAAGATCCCAGGTTTGGAGTGTCCCACACGTAGGTTCCTCTCCAACCAAACCTCGAATCGAATCGTTAAGCAGGTTACCTTCCAGGATTGCTCCTTTAGCCTCATCTATTTTTCTATAAGAAGCTAATTTCATCTATGCACTCTGACCAGCCTTCCTGTCCCTCATAGCATAAGGATGTCCACACCAAGTTTCACTGTGGGTGGTGTGTTCAAAATGTTGGTCAGTGTTAGTTTTCCATCATTAAGGCTTTATAAATAGTTTGATTTCAGTGTTATCTGCCCAGAGCACCTTTTCATACATTTTCACTGCTTTCCTTACATGGTGTCTACATGTTTTGTTTTTTTTGCCTAACAATCTATTTTCTATCCCTAATCCCTAATTTTCTATTATCTTCTTAACGTTTTTCTATGAAGATCAGATTTGTAGAGTTCACAACTAGCAGTTATTCTCTCACATGAACAGGGGATTTTTTTTTCAGGTCATGTGGCCTCTACAGAAAGGTCAAAGTAAATAATCAGAGTTAAAAGTTTATTACTCAAGTAAAAGTTGAAATCATACTGTTTAAAAACACTTGTAGAAGTTAAAGTATCAACTTAAGCTTTTTATTTAAGTAAAAGTGTAAAAGTACTATTTTTAAAATGACTTAAAGTATTAAAGTAAAAGTAATAAAATACTTTTTTTTTTAGAATGCTTTACTGCACTACCCTATTAAAGGAACATTTTTCTACAATTCTGGATGATAACTTTTCTTTTTCTAAGTTTTATAACTAATGGCAACGGTGTCAATTTTAACTTTGTATTTTCTTGAAAAATATTTATTTTGGTATGAGGCGAACAAGTTGGCGCATTACCGAGTCAAACCACGAAGAAATTAATTGTGTGGATGAAACAAATGGTGAGACCATGGTCTTGAGCCGGTAAAGGTTAGAGTGCCTTATCCAGGTTGGGGAGGATGTACTGCCCCTAATGGAGAAGTTTAAGTATTTTGGGGTCTTTTTCACGAATGAGAGGAAGATGGAGCAGGAGATCGATAGGCGGATTGGTGCAGCGTCTGCTGTGAAGCGTGCGCTGTACCGGTCTGTTGTGGTGAAGAGAGAGCTGAGCCAAAAAGCAAAGCTCTCGTTTTAGCGGTTGATCTACATTCCTACCCTCATCTATGGTCATGAGCTTTGGGTCATGCCTGAAAGAATGAGATCCCGGATACAAGCGGCTGAAATTCGTTTTTTCCGTAGTGTGCCTGGGCTCTCCCTTAGCTGCTCCTCCACATAGAGGTAAGCCAGTTTGAGGTGACTTGGGCATCTGATTAGGATGCCCCCTGGACGTCTCCCTGGTGAGTTGTTCCAGGCACGTCCCACCAGGAGGAGGCCCAGGGGAAGACCCAGGACACGCTGGAGGGACTGTGTTTCTCGGCTGGCCTGGGAACGCCTTGGGATTCCCCTGGAGGAGCTGGCCCAATTGGCTGGGGAGAGGGACGTCTGGGCCTCCCTACTGAAGCTGCAACCCCCGCGACCCGACCCCGGATAAGTGGAAGAAGATGGATGGATGGATGGATGGATGGATGGATGGATGGATGATGAAACAAATTATTTTGATGGGTTTAACATTTTTTTCAAATATCAACAGGCCATAAGAAAAATGAGCTTTAATGAAAAAAAACTAACAAGTCTATTTTTCAAATGTAAGGAGTATAAGTATAAAGTTGCCTAAAAATAATTATTCCAGTAAAGTATAGATGGCCAAAATTTCTACTTAAAGGTATAGTGGAGGATTTTTCGCAAATTTTTGAAAAGACCCCCCCCCCTCTCGACTTCAGGAGCTCCCGAGATGGATCGTCTATTAAGCGTGCAAGAGCGTGCACAGCCCATTTCTCCTCATGCACGCTCCGTTTAAACGTTGCTGTTTGCATCGCTCATATAAGCTTACTTTCCAAGAGAAGATTTGCAATTTTTCCACTATGTCAGGTTCACCACCAGTGAGAGATAATAGGGACGAGCACGTAGGACGGCCTTACATAAACTTCACTAGAATGATTGACAATTAGGAGGACCACTTATTTTGATGATCCACCTGGAAAAAGATCTTCCTCCACTATACCTTTAAGTGAGGTAATAAAGTATTTGTACTTTGTTACTCTACTCTGCAAATAATGCTGGCATGAGATGACACAGGAGTGGACATTATTCACTTAGTATGTGACATAGACAAGATCCCAACCAGCTGGATGGATTTTATTTGAGTGGCTGTAATGTTGCAAAGTATAAAATACACAAACTAGTAAGAATACTTCTGCGGGGCTCTGTTAATTGTACACGATCCGCTTACCTTTTTCCATGCTGCTTCAGTGTCTGCTGTATCCCATGCGGCACGCTGATGACTCCTTTGACAATATGATCGCCCAGAATCCTCTCTACCTCTGCAGCCATTCCCAGAACCGCTTTCCCGAAGCCCACCAGGTGCAGGTTGTGCCTTAATGTGAAAGTGCGTCCGTCAATAATGACGGAGTCTTCCTTGCGTTCTATGCTCTGCCTGACCACATGGTCTGGCTGCACAGCTTCCACCGCAACTCGGAAGATTTCCCGTGCCCGAGAGTCCAGGGACATTTTACGAAAGGTGGGTTTCCCTCTGCCCAAGACGGCCAGAAAAGGCTGGGGCTTGAACAAGGAAAGGATGCGGGCCATTGACACCTCTGTGGAATCAATCCATTAAGATGTGTAGAGTAAGAGAAGCATGTTAATTACATTATATATGAATAATTTAGGGATGATACTGTCAGAATGATATGTGCATTAAAAATATCAGATGTTTTATATTCAAAATCATGCATACATACCAAATGTAAGCCAATTTTAATAATGGAGGGCCATTGTAAAATATATATGTCTTAAAAATGATCAGTTTTTGTACACATTACCACACTTTGAAAGAGCTCCAGATGTAAGACAATTTGACAATAAATTCCCAGAGATTTTTGGCATAGTTTAACCAAACCCTCACCCTGTAGCTTCAAAAGCCTTTTGAGTTCAAATCTGCAACAGGCTAAGTCTACTTAAACTGATAGAAAAATCATTTTATATACTCCATCTAGATATTTAGTTTTTAATGTTAAAGACCAAATTATACATTTACTATTATTAGTTTGATTTATGTTCAAATTAACAAAAGTTAGATGTTATCGTTTGTAGTTAATATCAAAATTCCGCTTCTATCTGTCACTTCAAGTCTGTTTCGAAGGCTGCCTACCTGTGTGGGCTGTGTACGGCGATTAAAGCCTGCAGATTTCTGTGGCAGCCTGTTGTGTGTGTTCCAGATCCGCAGTTCAGCAAAAATGTAACCAAACTGTGACTGGAGTTGTTTAAACTACGTTTAATGATTGATTTGAGATATCACTGCCCATGTGAACATGCATTTCAGCTGTCCTTTTAACCTCTTCTCTACACTACCAAAAAAAAAAATCTTTTATTCACATTAAATTAAATACACATTTTTATAATAAAAATATTCTCAGTGTGTTATTCATTTTAAATCTTTTTTTTTTTTTTATCGATAGTAAGCTAAGAAAATACATTTAAAAAACTTGATTATGAGTTGAATGGTTGCTGGTGCCAGACAGGCTTGTCTGAGTAGAACCGATGACCTACTGGGATCTTCATGAACAATAGAGTAGAGGAGCTTTACAGAATGCCTTTCCTGAGCACTACATGTTGAAACTGGTGCTTTAGTTAAAAGGAAAGGATGCGGGTCATTGACACCTCTGTGGAATCAATCCATTAAGATGTGTGGAGTGAAATAATCATGTAAATTACATAATATATGAATAATTTAGGGATGATACTGGCAGAATGATATGTGCACTTATGCCAACTAAAAAAAAACAAGAACAAAAAAAAAAAACAGGAAACTGGTGCTTTAGTTACTAGAATTGGAGAGGCTGCAGGCTACATGTGTTGCAGTGGCAGGTGGTAATGGCATTTCCAGTGTCAGCTGTCCCAGGTATGCTGGTACTACTTAATATTGCAAAAAAATAAACTTGACTCTTTTGCATATTTAGTCTCAAATTCAGTTGCAACAATCAGGCAGTCATCACAGTTTGTATCAAATGCCCTGGCTGGTGGTGGTGGTGCAGTAGTGTGGGATATAACTGTGTGAACATCATAACCCCCAGTGCAAATGACCATGTCCATCCTTTTATCACAGAAGAGAACACATCTCATGAGGGTTACTTCCACTAGGATAATGCATCTTGTCAAGTTTGAGGTTGTCAGTTGTCAGTGAGTCTTTATCATAAATACAGATCAGGCATATTATTACATAATAGTGGTCACAATCACTACAAATTAAACAAAATCTAGATATCTCAGCTATTGTTATTCAAAACTAATATAATTATTTGTTAATTCAATTAATTTAGCAAAAAAAAAAAAAAAAAACACGAACAGCATAAAGTTATATTCGAAGACCATACCTTAGGCTTGGAGTTGCCTTTCTGTGGGGTCAAAAGTCATCCTGCAGCCTTCTTCATGTGTTTATTTTGCTGTGGCAGTAAATCTTAGAAGCGGCTGAGAATCAAATCTTTGCCAATTTTTTATGTGACAGAATGACTGGTATTTAACAAACACATATACTTCTATTCAAATAATGCAATGCTAAACATTAACATGCAGAGTTTAAGTTTATTTGATCGTTTGAATTTAAGCATTAGTGTTGTTTTTAAAGTACTGCGCAACTCTCGCGAGAGGTTGGAGGTTCACGGCTCTGCGCGTCACTGACGTCGAGAATGCGGGGTTTCGTCCCTCCCCTGCCGTTGACTCAAACCACACCAAGCGGGACCTGGTCGCTGATCTTGATATTCTGTTGTCCTAATCCCTACTTTTTAGCACCGCTTTTGCTCACATATCTTTACGAATCACCCTAACTGTGATCTTTGAGACAATTTAAAGCGAGAGGAGGGCCAGCTTCCCCTCAGACACAGGCAGGCTAACATGAAGCTAACGGACAATGTGCTTCGGAGCTTCAGGGTTGCTAAGGTGTTCCGAGAGAACACGGACAAAATTAACTGCTTTGATTTCTGCTCAAACGGAGAAGCGATTATTTCCAGCAGCGATGACGACTCACTGGTCTTGTATGACTGCCAGGAGGGAAAGTAAGAGCGGTTTCTCTCCAGTTCGTTTTTTTTTTTCACGTTAGCTGGTTGCTATATGCTAGCCACCGAGGCCCGTTGCGTTGGACGATTTAGAACGGAAAATGAAATGTATGAGCCCGTAAATTCAAGTATTTCTTTTCAAATATATATATTCAAATAGCTATTCAGTTTTTACATTTTATTTCAATATTTTTTTAAAGAGTGTTATAGCTCTGTGTATTTTGCTAGTAAGTTAGCTTAATGGAGAAAATGCGCTTTAATTTAAGCTAACATGGTTGAAGATTTGACTATATGACATAAGAAGTTAAATGAGTTTCGGAGCTCGTTAATGCTCAATCTTTAGCCTTTGGGTTAACTGCCGCCATTTCTCCTTTTAGTACATAGGGACCAACTGCCCAGTGCAAGATTTTTGGCGTGTATTATTATAATAAGCAGCTTTATGTTGGGTATAGATCAACTTTAACGTGTCTAAATTCACTCAGATTAAATTTTAAATACCCAGATGCTCTAGTAGATGGGTTAAAGATTTGAAAATTTTACAGTTACGTTTTCTCTGGTAGATAAAAACCATTTATGTTTGTATTCTGGAAATGGAGGGAAAATAATGTGGTTAATTAAGTATTTAAAGACAGTAATACAACAGGACTGGCATCCATAACTATTCAGAACAGCTTGTTGGTTTAATTACAGAACTTATCCAACAAACGGCATCAGGGATGGTTCTGGAAAAGCAGAATGCAGTCCTAGTTTAAAAATCAATACCGAAGCTTTGAACTTGTATTGGAAAAGAGGAATAGCATGATACTGCTACTTCTGCTTTCCATATAATTCTACCAAGAAAAGCCTTTTTAACTTTAACTGATAAACTGGAGTCTTTTATGGAAATACAGCTGTTAAACCTAACCCCAAACTGTGGAGGAGCTAAAAAGATTCACAGTTCAAAGTGGGGGAAAACACACTGAGAGGGTGATGCAGGTCGATAAAACCAAAATAAACTTTTGGCCAAGCAGACATCCGTTCAGTAAAGTAATGTTATATGGTGGTGAGAGCATGGTGCTGTGGGGATGCTTTCCTCCAGCAGGCATGGGAAACCTGATTTAGGTTATTATGAGCTTTTTCGAGATACATGTTTGGGGAGGGGTGAACTTTTGTAAATGTTTAGCATAAGAACACATACAATAGTACTTCTCCCACAACCCCTGTCAAGTAATTGAATTAATAGAAAGGTCTGCTTCTAATTTTTTTTCTTTTTATTTATGACAGACCCAAACGAACTCTGTACAGTAAAAAGTATGGGGTGGATCTGATCAGGTACACACATGCTGCAAACACAGTGGTCTACAGTTCCAATAAAATTGATGGTATGTATTCAGAAAAAGAAAAGGTCAATATATATTTCTCGTTGCAATTTCAGAGTTTAACTTCTGTTCTGCAGCCTCATTTTAAGTCTAAATGGCCCAGGATGCAGGCTGATGAATGCTGTTGCATAATTGGTCATCATGCTGCTCACTGTAGCCTGAGGTAGTTGTTTGTACAGTTTGAGGGTCTGTGATTCTACCCCATACAGGAGCTAACTGTACAAGTGACTGCCTTGCCTACGGTTGAGCACAATCTCCGGACGAGCTTTTAAAACGCCAAGTTGTGTCTTTTCCTCTGTTCGTCATTCATTCGGGTCTGCTGGTGTCACCAAATTTGTTCTTTTCCTTTTAGACACTATACGGTATTTGTCTCTTCATGACAACAAGTATATCCGATACTTTCCTGGACATAACAAAAGGTGAGGGCTCTTCTTATGTTTCCTTGATTGGTTCATGTTTTATCCTGCTGTTTTGTTTTTTTATTAATTGTATTGTTTTTTGTGATCAGAGTGACTTCTTTGTCGATGTCTCCTGTGGATGACACGTTTATTTCCGGCTCATTAGACAAAACTATCAGGCTGTGGGATCTGCGTTCGCCAAACTGCCAGGTTGGTATCTAGCTTTACTCCCCTCTTATAAGCATTATTCGAGATTTGACTTTGAACACAGCACCAAATTTTCTGTGAACTTGTTTTTGTTTTGTTTTTTTTTTAGGGGTTGATGCACCTTCAGGGGAAGCCAGTGTGCTCGTTTGACCCAGAGGGCCTAATTTTTGCCGCTGGAATAAATTCAGAGATGGTTAAACTCTATGATCTGAGATCATTTGATAAGGTATGGGGAAAGTTTATTTTTTTGTATGTTTGTGAGAGATATGTTCTTACTCTGTTATTTAAGCTAATATATAATCTGCAACAAAAACATTCCTCTCACCAACAGGGTCCCTTTGCAACTTTTAAGCTTCAGTACGATCGGACATGTGAGTGGACGGGACTCAAGTTTAGCAACGATGGTAAACTCATCCTTCTTTCAACTAACGGCGGCGCCCTTCGCATCCTGGATGCTTTTAAAGGAGCTGTGCTGCATTCTTTTGGGGTAGGGGAGAGTTGCACTCAATGCTCAATAATGAATAGTATTTAAGCAGTGCCTCGTGTAGTGCTGAAGTGTCAGTGTTAGAAATTGAACTTTATCTTCTATTTAAATCAAATGTAAACCTCTACAGCCAATATTGTTTTATATATTTTTTACCCTATTTAGTTGAATGAACTGTGCTTCATTTAATGTTTATGGACAGCTGACATTTTATAGAGGAGTTTTTCAAAGAAGTTGCATAAAATAACTGGGGTTTCTGGATAAAGTTAAATGATTATAACTTTCAACCAAGCCCACCCAAATAATTCATTAAATAGCAGAAAAATGTTGTGCTCATATGATTGTTTATTCAATGATTAAGAAGCCAAAGGGTTTTTGAATTGAAAGGTTGGTTTGTTTTGTCGATGGATGTTTTTGATTAAAATTAGGCCAATCGCAATTTAATAAAAGACCCTGTGAATAATTTGATTTAAAAATGTTTTGTCATGTCCCACCACTTATTTCTAAAGTGTTTCTTGGGTTTTAATCAATGTTAAAATGTTTTTCTCTATTTTTAGGGGTATAACAACAGTAAAGGTGTAACCCTAGAGGCTTCCTTTACTCCAGACTCTCAGTTTGTAATGATCGGTAAGTTTATGGAAGCATGTATTTAATTATCTTAACTCATAAGTTTAAGGAAAAAGCTCCACACTTCTTGTTTTGACGTAAATTAGCTGTGTAACCAGATCAGATTTTCTCTGATTATTTGTTCACCTTATATGATAATATAAAGCTTTCTTCGTTCTGTCTATTCAACAATAAAATTTAACAAATATTAACTTAAAGGTTAATAAAAACTGCTGCAGATTCCTTAATAAAAGTACCAACAGTTAATTGCCTGACACTTGCTGATCAGAGCTGATCATTTGGGATTTTACCAACTTTTTTTTTTTTCAGTCAGTTTGCTTCCATCTCTAGGGATAGAGACACTCTGGCCAACCATTTATCCACAAACTCACAGCTATGAGGAACCTTTGATTGACCAGTTAACCTAGCAGTCATTTATTATGCTACGGATCTGGCATTTAGCAATAAGTCTATTTGTTATTTAGTTGTCTTGTATTGCTGTAGTAAAATATAATAGAAGAGAAAATCCCTTCATTGTCCCACAATGGGGAAGTTATGGTGTTTACAGCAGCAAAAAGATCCTAGCCAGTTATAGGAATAAATTTCACTGTTGATCTTCTAAGAAATATGTTCTTTTCTAATAATGAGCTGCCCTGTTCTGTGTCGTTTTTTTCTCACTGATTGATGTGACGCAGGCTCAGAGGATGGAAAGATCCACGTGTGGAACGCAGAGAGTGGGATGAAGGTGGCCTTATTAGACGGGAAGCACACCGGCCCAATTACCTGTCTGCAGTTCAATCCAAAGTTCATGACGTTTGCCAGTGCCTGCTCCAACATGGTGAGTCTGGGATGAGAAAGGTCAATCCTCACATCTGCCGTCTTGGATTGAGGAAATGCACTTCAAACAGTTGAGAAAATTATTTTTTTTTTTAATAAAATTAGAGGATTTGATTTTGCCAATAGTTTTGTTTTGATTTTAAAGGTCATTTCTATAAACAATTTTAAAGATTATCTAAATTAAGTTCCTTATTAAAACTGTTTTTAAGGTCAATAATGTTAAAGCCCAAATTCTGATTAACATTTTTAAGGATTGAAGGTTTTTAATCTGTAAACCAGTTATGGCTGTAAGGGATTACAGATTTATGGATTCAATCTTTCAGGCTTTCTGGCTGCCGACCATCGATGACTAAGGACAAAACTGAAGCCTGTGTCGCAGGAGCCAATGGCCAGCAGGGGGCGTTGTAAAAAGAAAATTTATATTCAAGTTGTAAATAATCAGTTGTAGGAATAAAACATGTTGCTGTTTTTTTACATTTCTATTTAAAATTAAATTGTTTTTCTTGTTAAAAAATGTCTGGACTCTTTTTGTGTGTGTGCACAGATTATCGTCCATTTGGTGTGTTTGAAATGATTGTAAGAACAATTCAAAAACAATGTAGTCATCTTTTTTTTTTCAACAGTTAAGAAAACAATAAATGTTGTTTTTAAATCAACTGAAGACTAAACAGGATTCAATTATTCTAGTTTATTGTGTTTTTAATCATGTTTTATTTAGTAAGGTTGAATCTTAAGGTATTCTGAAACCTGATAGGACCTGATCTTTTATTAGAGCATAAACAACTTTCACAATCTGTTGACCATCATTATGGAATCATGTGGAAACCTTTGAGGTGGATAAGTTGAGTAAAGACTCCAGTATAATAAGCCTTTCAGCACCTTTTTAATTTTTCTGTTTCTTTGATCAAAGGGTCACAGTTTACCATTTTATAAATCTGAAGGCCTTTAGATTTACATCACTCAGGTCTTGTAGGTGTAAGAGGGTTTAGGTCATGGTCTTCCGTTCTGTTTTGGCTCTTCACAGGCCAGCACCCCTGCCTGGACAAGCAGAGATGGGGCTAAATTTGGGAGAGGTGATCAGGTTCCACCTCTGTGCACATGACACTGTTCCGGTTACTTGAGCAGTCCAGTACCTTCTCACACTCTCAGCCTGCAGACGGAACACTCACTGGTCCTGATCAGGACTCTTCATACTTTCTTCTTTTGACTGAAAATTTAAGTCGTCTGTACTTAGGGTTTTATTCCAGCTGCCTTGTCTTTTTCCATCGTCGCCTCCTTCCTCCAACGCCCTCCACCCTGACCCCCCTGGCAGGAGGAAGAACCAGCTTGACCGGCAATGTTCCTCGCACTGGTGGTGACGCCGGAACTGAGGCAGTTCCTGGCCAGGGCGAGAGGCGGAGCAGCACGCCTCATCAAAGTCTGCATCCAGGACGGTGAGTGACCCTGTGGATCGGCTGATCCTTTCTGGAACTGTTAGTGGAAATGGCACAGATTACCTCTACCTTGAATTAATTATCTCATTCTTCAGAAGTAATCCTCCGGGGACAGTTAAACCAGTTTGGTCTTAAAATCAAATTGTATATATATGGTCTTATAAGGAAGATTGTAAAAATTCCTACCGTCCTTGAATCTGTAGGCTCAAGATCTAGAAACGCTTAATTTAACAAACATATTTGCAGTGATGTTACTGCATTGACCTTTTCTTGTTTTTAAAGACCTCATGAAGATGATTCAGTGTTGCTCAAACGTAAACTGTTTTCAGTTCAGCAGCTGACCTTAAGCCACCAATGACGTGCCGACGATAATTAGGTTGCCTGGCATTCACAGGGGTGATGAGGCCAAAGGAAAAGTTAGGGGAATTCAGTGAAAGGTTAGTTTCTTCCTCAGGAAAATAAGAACTAAGGCATCTGTCGTCTGAAAGCAGGCTGTAGGAAAAAGTGGATGAAGCAATAGCTTTCTAGGCAACTGGTTCTTCACCATGATGTTTACATGGTGTGTTTGTGTAGAACCAATGTCACGCTGTAATACGACTCATGTCAGATGCAATGTGGGAAGTTTTTTGGAGCTCTCTCTGAACTGAAGACATCAATTGAAATATTTGTTCACATATTTATAGGGTTGCTGTCAGACTGTTGCGGTGAAGAGCTTCTGCTTTAATCTGACACTTTGACAGACAGCCTTCCTGCTCCAGTATCTATGGGAAAACGACTCCTAGCAAAAGCCTGTAAAACCTTTAAGACCTTTGTTCACATTGCAGCCACTTAGTTCAAAGTATTTTACTGGAACTTTATGAGATAGACTAATGAAAAGCGCTGCATGATTGTGAAGTGAAAGGACATTTTTAAAATCATTTTAAAAGTTTGAGTTTTTTAACAATTAAACAAATTAAAGATGTGTGCATCAGCACTCCTAATTGCTGTAAACCAACTCTACCTGAAGTTACAGCAGCACTTATTTTTGCATATCTGCAAATATTTTCACCAGGTCTTAGTCAGACTGAACAAAGAAAATTTGAAAAGATTAGCTTTCATGTTTTTTTACTGACTCCACAGGATTTAGATCAGGACTTCAGGTCATTCCATTTGGGGTTTTCTTGCTGAAAGGATAACCTCGCCTCAGTCTAAAATGTTTTTATCATCTCTAAATGGCTTTCCTGCTTTTTCTAAGCTCAAGCATTCCCACAGCATGATGCTGCCACCATTAGGATTCATGGTGGACTCGGGTTGATGTGTAGTGTTTGCGTAAGGCCAAAAGATTTTATTTAATTGGAAAATCTTCTGACGTGTTTGCTACATCTCTTTGCCGCAAACTGGACTGCAGGTGATATTTTTCAACACTTCTTTCTATTCATGAACCAAAGGCTTCAGAAGTGCATCAGTAATAGCTTTCCCATTTGACTGTGGATGTCTGCAGTCCCTTCAGGAATCCTGTGTTTTTATTCATTACTCCCTTTCTATTTCTTCTTGGGCCAGTTAGTTTAAATGGTCGGCCATTTTTTGGTTGGTTTACAACTGTGACATACTCCTCCCATTTTCATAGGTAGGCCTATGGTTTCTGTTCAATAATAAGGTTACTTCTAAAGGAAAAGTATTAGATTCTATTTAAGGATGTTGAGTAATGATGCTGATTATGATTGCCTGTCGTACATTTAGATAAAATGGTGACCTTATTTAAACAAAGTTATTTTTGTTTAATTTCGCAGTGATTTTCCATTCTGTGTTGGTCCCTCAGTATTTCATTATGACAGACTGAGTTTTGTTGTTGAATAAATTAAAATAATACCTTCATATGCTGATGTTCATTATTTGAAAGTAACAAATCTGATGGTAACTAAATGTGGAAATGTGAATACATCTAATGCAGGATTACTTTAACCATCTTGCAGCTGCATCTTAATATTTAGCTGTAGTGCAGTACAGAGTGCTGTTTTTTTTTTATGCATAGGTGAAGCATCAGGAGTTTCATGAATTTAAATATGAATGTTTAAATTGAGCGATGCAATACAGAAAGCAGGAGACCTCCCCAAGTTGATCACACTCCAACCTCAACCCTCCCCAGTGCACTTTGGTCTCTCTGGTCGCTGCTCTGCTATTTGAACCGGCCCGGGACTCGTTGTGTGGCCTCTTCCAATGTCCAAAGTAAAACTAGATCGCTGCCGCTGATTGCATCACCATAAAGTTAGGGTCCTATTCTACAAGTAATCTTTTTAGAGGCCAAAAAGCCATTAGACCCGCATGGAAACAAATTCTGTTCTTAGCTTCATACTAATTTATAGCATTTAAGACAAGAGAGAATGACTAATGGAAAGTATGTGCATGCAGAGCTGGAATGTATTGCAGCTCAAAATAGAAACTTGCCCCAAGAGAGAGTCAGAGGGGAAACCCTGCACCCAACAAAGGACATCAGAGTTGAGGTTTCTTTCTGTGTTTTCACTTCATTAATATTTTCAGAGGTTTATTAATCTAGTTTTATTTTCAACTCTGAACCTACTCTTTCCTGCTTTTTCTTTATCACGACACCTGAAAGACTCAAACAAACAAGATCTACTTTGTCTTTGGGATGGTTGTAGAGAGAAAAGTTATTTATTGTGTTTATAAACGTTGAAAATTATAGAAGATATTAAGCTTTAATAGTTTTTTCCCTGTTTCTTTTTTTTCTTTTTTTACATATCTTAAATAGCTTCTCTAATTTAATCTAAAAAGCCTCCATCCTTTGCCACAGTGAACAATGCAAAGTGGTTTAGCCTAGTTATCTCTTCTTTCTCTATTTATTACCGACGCTTGCATGCTGCTTAAAGAGAGACTTTGGTATGTGATGAGTAGTGGTCTGATTTTCAGAGCAGCTGGTGCTGGGGGCCTACAGAGAGCCACAACAAAGCTGGGACCAGGACTATGACCACTTCCTGCTTCCACTCCTGGATGACCAGGAGCCCTGCTACATCCTGTACCGCCTCGACTCCCAAAATGCTCTGGGCTATGAGTGGATTTTCATCTCATGGTCCCCAGACCAATCTCCAGTAAGCCACAAAACATGTTCCTAACAATCATTGGGGGGGTACTCTAACCCTAAAACCTGATTTATCACTTAATCATTCCTTTAATGCACCTTTGATTCTGAAGTATGAGAATGTGCAGTCATTACAGCGTTTATGAAGGAGACGTGTTGTGTGAAATATGAATATCAGTCTTTATGTCAGGAAACATTTAATCCCTTTGAATGTCGGACACTGATAAAAAAAAGAAGAAAAAGATCCGTTGTATGTAAAAAGCTGGTTTAATTGTAAATGTTTGGAACATATTCCTCATCGCACCATCAAAAGTACTGCCAAAGCCTTAAGCAAGGAGGTATGGTACATTTTATTGCTGAAACATCATGCTTTTTAATCTTTTTCAGCTAAAGTCACCAAACATAACTCGGTTAATAAAAAGACAGATAAAAAAAATGTTGCTAGATTCAGTCAAACTACACCTTTGAAAGGATGCTGGCAGACTTTTAATAATGCTAGTAAAGGAAAAGCTTCTAGCCAAGCACAGAAATCCATCTTGACGAGCTGAGACCGAGACAATATAAAGCCAATTACTGTAAGGATCATGTAATGTCATGATCATGTAAAAGTCTACCGTATAAGACACATTCACCAGAGAAGTAAAATAAGATGTTACCATCAGTTTAGACATGAGAAAAGTAGATCATCCACCTTTGCTTCCTCTGTTGGATTTATGAGGGAAAGTAGCAGCACTTCATTAACCAACACTGCTAAAGAAGTTTAGTTTTCTAAATGGGTGCACCGAACACAATGCTAAGTGAGAAAGATATCAGCAATGACTCCAGAGAAGATCAACAGGCAAGAAACCATTGTCCACAAATCGGTGAAGGGTTCTAGGGAGTTCACAATCAATTTAGAACAGATTGTTCAACAGAGAAAGCTAGATATCTTTTCTAGCGATATTATCCCCAGAAGTGGCAAAACAGACAAACACTTAACCTCTGACTTTGCAGACTCTTGTGTGTTCAAGATTAAATGTTATGATGGCATAATTAGGAAAAATAGGACAGCTTTACTTTGAACAAATGTCAGGAGAAAGTTGCTTCTCTTTAAGAAAATTGGTGAACAAAGTGCAAAATCAGAACCAAAACACAAGTTTTTCTTCACACAAGTTCCCGTAATGTTATCATCCTGATGTAAATACATTTCCTGCTTCCTCGTTAGAGTGAAAAAAAGATTTCTTTTACCCTCGCAAAACAAATAGCCGGTTTTAGAAGCCAGGGATTATGATGGAAGAGGGGCCGATAATATCAAACAGAGAGAGAAAACAATCAAGGTGTTCCAACGGTTTGGTCAAAGTCAAGCGCAATACCTGAATAGAATTATGTTGAGGAAATGATTATGGCCTGAAGGGTCAAGACTGCCCAAAACAATGTTAGTCAATCAGAAAACAACTACAGCCAGACTGTACTGCTGCTTTTCACTTCGTTATTCACACTTCGCCTTCCCATTTTAGCTTCACCTGTGTTTGATAAAGGGCCTTTTTATTTCCTGAGGTTGGCTTTAAATAGCTTCAAAGTATTTTATTAGTTATTGATAAAATAATGCAACACCTAATAGATTTGAGGTTTAAAAAGACAAATCAGACCGAATAGTTCACGAAACCTGATAAAAAAAAAAAAAGGCTGATTCAGGTTAACAATATTGTTTATTTCAGCTCTTATTTTTAATATATTAACAATCTTTACTAAGATTATCCGTTGTCTTAGGAAAATAAGTTTTTTGAAATAAAAATAAAAACTGGCCATTGTAACTACAAGGACATAGCACACCTTTGGAGTAACTGAAGCTAAATAGACAACTATAAGTATCAATGAATGATCAATCCATGGTGTTTCCAGGTGAAGCAGAAGATGTTGTACGCTGCCACTCGAGCCACAGTAAAGAAAGAGTTTGGTGGGGGTCACCTAAAGTATGAGATATTTGGCACCACAGAGGTGAAAAAACCTATAAATTCACCACTTCTTTTAGGTTTTTTTTTTTTTAATTTTTATGTATAGTTTGTATAACAGCCCTTTTTCTTTATTTACATCTCTAGGAGGACATCTGCTTGCAGGGTTACCTGCATCATGTGTCGTCTTTCTCAGGTCCAGCGCCTCTCACGTTAGCGGAGCAGGAGCTGCAGAGGATCAAAATCACAGAGGTGAGAGGTCAGCATGTCAGCAGCGGGGCCGCCATTGCATTCTTGTGCAGAATTCTTGTGGTTTTTTTAAAAATTTTATTTTAGTTGTTTAAGACCCAGTTAGATGTTGCACATCATCATTAAGAAAGGGGAGAAAAATATAACCTGGGTAAAAATGAAAATTTATTTTAAAATGATAGTTTTGTGCAGTGCATTGACTAAATCAGGGCTAGACCTTCTGACTGTATATATCTGTATATATCTATATCTGTCCCCCAGACTGTGACAATAATTTACAGAATTGTTTATGCTAAACCACACTGCAAGTTTTTTTTTTTTTTTTTTTTACATGTTTGAGCTGTTTTGAACCATTCAGAGATGGACTTGCCGGTTAACTTGGATCATTGCAGTCTTGCAAATGCCTTAACACAATACAAATTAACTATGGCTAATTACACAGTTGCAGCTACGTGAACTCTTCTGTTGCCGTTGTGTAAATTTGACCCAATTTCACAACTTGCAATGTCGTGTATATTCATTTCTGCATTACTGCAGATTTTAAGCATGCTCTGATCTAATTACAAATGGCTATATATATTGAATGAAGGGATTTTCCCAACCGAATAGTTGTGCACCATTTAAATACACACACTTGGAAAATTGACAGCCTTAAAATATTAAATGTTAAGTTCTGTGTTAGTAAAAAACATTTTTAAAAGGTAAACCATTTATTAACTGATTAAAAGTCCAATAATTTGCTGCAAAACCATTACAACTATTTTGAATACAGGTGTGTAAAATTAGCCAGACTTCTCTTACAAAAGGGGATGATTCCATAAAGAAATATATAGACAGAGCTTAAAACCCCCTATGGTAGATCCAAAGTTATGTCCTTGGGATCTTTTTATGGTAAATGTGCATCAAAGAGGTTTGTTTTTCCAACAAAAAGAGGCAAAAAAAAAAGCTGAAAGTCAAATCTAACATAACAGGACACAATTGTTTATTTGGAAAGCCTCTTTATTCAACCAGAGTGAGCTTCTGTCACACAAATTTAAGGTCACAAGCTTAGGAACTGACAGTCTGGTCCAGCATTTCCTGGAAGAAGTTGGGGTGGTCTAGGTTTTACCAGACTGTTATTTTTTCTAAATTGCAGTTATTTTTTTTCAGCAGAAGTAACAGGATATGCACCAATCTCAAAGCTCTGTCTTTTCCTATCATTTTACTCAATATTTCGACTCAAATTACAGGAATTCTCACAGTATTTATTTTCACAAATGTGAGATGGATGTTTGTTTGCTTTGTTGTCATTTTAGTAGACCATCCACTCCTGGAATCCATTTAAATCTCTTTGCCTACTTAATGTTGTCAGACAGGTTTTTATAAAGTGATTTCTTGAATATGACCTAATACTGAACTAATATTGATCTTGGTCATTCATGGTTTGACCAGGGTTGGTGTTATATCATGGCCAGATATCTTTAAATAGCTTTATTTCCATGATTCATTAAATAATCATTTAATGAATGCTTCTTTGTCCAATGATTAAATTAATCTGAAACATGTTTAGGAGGCAAATCTTTTATGACAGCATGTATTTATATAGTTTTATTAAAAAGGTAATGCTTTGTTATGATTTCCTTTCCAGGGCCGAGTGAAACAGGTATGTTTAATAATTGTTACTATATCTGTATGCTTCTATGCACCATTGGCCCAAGATAAAAAAAAAAAAAAAGTTCTGTCACTTTAAGAGTCATCTAATGAATCCTGTCAATGTTATGGTGCCACCTACAGGTGAAGACAGAAATCAGTGTGGAGAGCAAGCACCAGACGCTTCAGGGCCTTGCTTTTCCTCTGCAGGAGTCAGCCAAAAGAAGCCTTCTTCTACTGGCTCAGAAACGCTTCAACTATGTACAGCTGGTGAGCAGAGAAAGCTGTTTCGCACAAACACACAAAGACTCAGACATGTTCCAGCTTGACACCTTTATGTTTACCAAAAAATAAATAGTAGTTCATTTTTCATAAAGGTAAGAACTTAGATCTTTAATGTTTTTTTTTTTTTTTTTTTTTTTTTTTTTTTTAGAGGCTGGATGTGGAAAAGGAGACAATAGAATTGGTCCACTCCAACCCAACAGAAACCCGTGATTTACCCCGCAGGGTTCCTAAAGACACTCCCAGATACCACTTCTTCCTTTACAAGCACTCCCATGAAGGAGATTACCTAGAATCTGTTGGTAAGCCTCTGATCGATGAACCATAATAATCCTGTTTTTCCAACGAATCTATATCTAAACTGGGTGAACTCTGCTTGAGGTTTCTGTAATCACTGCGAGATTCTGCTTATAATGTGAAACAAGAGAAAAAGTAAGTCAAGTGAAAACATTATGTTGCACCACCCTGTTTCTACAAACGGTACAAACAGGCATGTTTACAGTTGATTTAATAGTAAAAGCCAATTTTCTCATGTTTTCAATGTTAAAGTGAATTAAAAGTTTCTGACTGCATAGAGTGGATCTTAAAAATTATATTTGAAAGAAAGAAAAAAAGGACAGGATAATTATTTAAAACATTTAATGTGACGTCTTTCGCAGCTGTTCGATATTCTATACGTGTGCATGTCTTGTTTTAGGCAGGTATGTATCAGAATCCCACATCTTGGTCTGGTAATCTGCCCACTATAGCTTTAAAATCATCAAAGTCCTTGTTTAAGCTGCAGACTGGGCTAAAAAGATCATTCTGAGCCTGAAGTTCTTCAGTCTGCCAGACTTATGGGACATCTGATGTGATTTATTATTTCTATGTTCTCTGGGATACTAAGAATCTAAATGAAAACCATCATCTTTAACTTTCTGCGAGAAATTGGCTTTTTTTTTGTATAAATTGACTGGTATTTGGAGCTGTTCCTGATTTAATTCCCTTTGACAAAAAACCCCCAAAAAACTTAACACAAATTATAGAAGAATCAGGAGAAAAGCAATCATACTGTCACATCCCTGTTTAACTGCCAATACTGTGTTATGCTGTCAGTGTGTTTTTAGTCCCAAACATACAGTATCCTCTGGAACCAAAACGTTAATTTTTCCTTTAGGAGATGTTAGCCAGGCCTGGATGTTTCTGTGATATAACCTCATTCCATTGTCAAAATATGACTACAGACATCAGCATTCTTGTATAGATCACAGCCCGGCCCTAGAATTTCCTGCAGCTTGTTCGGTTGCTGTCGGCTTCCTAACAGTCTCCAGCCTCACCCTTTCTTTTCATCAAATATGGAGAAACATGCTGGTCTGTTAATGTCACGGTTGTCCCGTGTGTTGAATTATTTGTACAATGAGATCATTTTGATGTGTTGAAACTTCTCTACAAACAATGGCTTTAGCTAAAGTTTACAAACAAGCAAATTCTAGGAAATCCATTACGACAGCAGAACACTGTGGCATTTACCCAGATCCTCTACAAGTCCAAGAATGTTGGAACTATATTAAAAGATGTTTAAAAAAAAGTAGTAGTTTAAAGATGTACATATTAAAACAATAACTGTACAAAATACAATCTCCCAGTTTTAAAGATGACCTCATATCAGTGGTTTACTGTGCAGCCGCTCTCCTAAGAGTATGAGCCCCTGTGAAAATTCCTGAAAATAGACCACGATTAAAAACTTTTCAAAGATTTTCCACCCAATGTGACACCTATCCTGTGGAAATCAACCAAAAGTCGACTATAAAAAGTAGCAGGAGCACTGAAAAAATGCATAGGGGCTTAAATGTGATCTTTGTAAAAACACATTTTGATACAATTACAGCATTCAGTCTTCTTGAGTTCACACCTGCCATCAATTACAGAGAATCTGATAAACTGGAAATAAAGGTCAGCTGTGCTCCGAGCAGTTATTCACTCAGTTTAGATCAGTTTAGATAAAGGTAGAGCTTGTAGAAAGTACTGCAAAGCTCTACCCACCCCCCTTTTGACATACATGGAGCAGAGAAGACATTATTTTCTCTAAAACTGGTGAAGAAGTTTGATTGAAATGAGTAAAAAACACTGGAGCAGCACTAGTAGCGTTTATGTGATGAGTCTCTCTTGTTCTCTCCATTTTTCCGAGCTAACGAATGGCTCTGCAAAGCAGAAAGCCACTCATTACCTTTCAAGTAAATATAAAAATAAAAACCCACATTAGAATGTCTGGGTCACAGTCCAATAATATAAATTTGTGATCGAAACCTCCAACACATCTATAAAAGAATACAGTCTCTGCTGTGACATCTGATGGTGGCAGCATCCTTGTTGCTTCAATTCAGATGGAACCAAAGCTTTTTGTCACAGTGGCTAAATTTGGCAACAGTTCTTAATACATAAAAGCTTATTAATTTGGAGAAGCTTTGCAAACCCTAATGAGCAAATGTTTCCAAGAAGTGGGGAACTGATCAACTTTAAACAAATAAAAACTAAATGCTGGAGTTGAATCAAAAGGTGCTTTTAACAGGTAAGTTCAAGGATGTGCACATTTATCCAACTCTTGCTGGATCCTTCTTTGTACACCCTTAAGATGCATCTGAACAGGGGTGTTCTACATCTATCTTTCTGCATTAACTGGGACTTAAGCCCTCACACAATTCATGAAGCCAGAAAAACATCCTTTTCATTGCAGGCTGTTTTTTTCCTGAATGTTTCCTGAACTCATTTCTTCCCAATAAGCGTGTGTGATTGAATTCCTCTGCAGGTTCAAAGCTCCATCCATTCTGCTCATTTAGGATGAGTTTTCAGTTTCCTTTGGATTCTCTACATCCTTTACTTCTAACATACAGCATCATCATTAGATTAGTCAGGTCTTAGAGGCTTTAACTAATACCCTGTGGCCCTTTTGAACCTAAGTTGAATGACTGTTAGATGTCTGTTCATGCTCAAGCATTTTTGAGCTATTTCATTTTCATATTCCATCTCTTTTTATGCTTCTACTCCATAGATTGAAAATCACATTTCATAGATTCCACACTTTAGATATCATTTTCAAGTTTAACAAAGATAAATATTTAAACTTTATTATAAAAAAATAAAAGTATTAATTCACATATTTAGTTTTTCTTCAGAGGTTGGCTACAACTATAAACAGATAATGTATATCAAATTTTCAGATAAAGTTTAATTTAAACACAAAAATAAACATGGGAACAATAAAAATACCCTCCACAGCTGTGTGCATTTGTGATGGCTGATGCTTCCCTCTCTGCAGTGTTCATATACTCCATGCCAGGATACAGCTGCAGCATTAAGGAGCGGATGCTTTATTCCAGCTGTAAGAGTCGACTACTGGAGGAAGTGGAGAGGGATTACCATTTGGAAATTGCTAAAAAGGTAACAGATGGATTGATGGGGAGGAGGGCCAGAACGTTAGATAACATAGCTTCATGCGCAGATTCATTACTCTGCTCAGGCGGTGTATATCTCTCCCACATGGCGAGCATTTCTGAGACAGAATGTCTAAACCTGTAGCTGCTTATTGAGGCTTAAGACATCTGAATTGATAGGAACTCATTGCTAGAAAAACCTGGGGACGAAACAGCTATAACTTACGCAACCAGAAGATTATTTATTTATACGTTGTCCTTTAATGTAAATTACTAATAGTCTGCATTATGATATTATGTATTTTACCTTTCTACATGACTCTATATTCTCTTTTTACTCTTTTTTTTTTCTTCTTTTCATCCAGCTGGAGATTGATGATGGAGACGAGCTGACGGAGGAATTTCTGTATGACGAGGTCCATCCCAAGCAGTACGCTCATAAACAGGCCTTTGCAAAGCCCCGAGGCCCTGCAGGAAAAAGGGGACACAAGCGTCTTATTAAGGGGGCAGGAGAGGCCATTCAGAACAGCTAGAAGCAGATAATAATACATATAAATGGTATCTTATACAAAAATCTGCATTTGTAGGCCTTTCTTACTGCTTTCGAAATATTAAAAATGTTTTTGTTTTTGTTTTTTGGTACACAATGAATTTCTCTCTTGTTCTTGGTCTAATGTTTTACAGACATATTATTACTCATATAAGACAATATGCTCCTAAAGATTTGTAACTTACAAAATATACATGCTTAAATGTTCAAGGAACCCTTAAAACTCAAAATATCGATAAATATTGGAAAAACACAAACAACTGTGTAAACACATTTTGTTTTAAACAGTGATTTCAGATGTTTTTGTTAAGATTTTTTTTTATTTGTATGTCTGCAGATATCCAATATATTTATTAAACACTATGTTAAGCCTGATTGAGGTAGCCATGTTGACCCGTTATGTTGGGTTAGAGATGGGACATTTAAGGAGAACTAAAGCAAACGGGCAGCTCTACCATCAGACACCTACAGTTCACTAATTGCTTTTTTTAAACATCCTCAACGGTCGTAGTTATAAATATAGACACGGAAACCTCGTAAAATAAAATTTGCAGATACAGAAATTTCTCGAGAGAAGGTTTCATGATCAAACGAGACAACAGGTGACATCTCAGGCCACTGTGATGAGAGTGTTTTGATGGGTCAAGACAATGCTTTCAAATCTCTAAAGTCCATATCAACTGTCAAGTATGGCGGTGGTAGTAACAGTGTTCTGGTTCAGTTAAGCCCCAAGTGATAGTTGTGCATTGCAAAATGAAGAGGGGGAGTGCCGTGGTGGTGGCAGCATAATACCAAGGGACTGAATAACAATAATAACTATTAATACTGATGCATTGCACAATATCGGTGAAATTATAAAGATGATGTCTACCCCAGGATTATTGAAGTTCAACTCAGCCTAGTGAGTTAGCAGTTGACTTGTGCTCTGAGAAGGTTGCAAGTATCTGGTTCGAATCCCACTGCCTTCCCTCTAGGTTCCTGAGGAAGACCTTAATCCCTGATTGCAACCTGGGCATCGCACAATGCCAGCCCACCCATCCCAAGCGGATGGGTTAAATGCAGAGGTTTCACCAATGTGAGATCAATAAAGTTCAATTATTTTTACATATTAGGCTCAGAGCTACATTTCCACCACAAACTGTTGCCTAGATTTCCCTTATTGCTTTGGACTGAGAGGGAAAGACATCAAAATGCTTGGAGCAGTCAAAGTGAAGTCAGACTTGAAAAATATGTACCAACTGTATAGTAATACCAAGCTAAGCGGAGGTGACTTCCGGTGGTAGTGGTCTATATTATCTAATGAGGAAAGGGGAGAAGCTTTTAAATCTCAGAATGCAGAACTGTTAAGCACGGTGGTGGCAACATCATGTGGTGGGGCTGTTTCTGTACAATTGATACCAGTTTATTGATTTTTTTTTTTTTTGCACAAAGGGAATCGGAAGATAAAAACAGAGCGCTACCCTCATTGTTCTTCAACCTAATCTCAACTAGACTGCTGGGATTAGGAGTCAGTCAATTGTTGCTAAATAAAAATAATCCTAAAATCAGATTTCTCAATAGACAAACCATGTTCACACTGAGCATCAACCACTGACCTCAATTTTAATGAATGGATTTATCTAATTGAAAATATTAAATAAATACAAAATAAAAAAAAATTATAATAATGAAAAACTAACTTGCTGTCTATAAACCAAACAAATGACCTCCTCCATTTCTGTGAAAGAATTGTGGCAGCTTGGACATTTAGCCGATTATCAATGTGGATAAATGCATAGATATATGAAACCATATGTTTAATGTAATGTTGACCCTTTTTTCATAAACATGCCCCTAAATTCTCTTTTTAGAAACTATTGAAATAAGTTGAAAACTAAATACCATTAAAACTCACATTTATCACAGATCTGGATCAAGATTCATATCCTTGATGACAGGTCAGTAAGTGTCTTGGTCGTGTTACAGAATGGAGTTGGTCACTCATTCTTAGAAAATGTCACATTTGGTTAAAGCTGTTGGCTGACTAGCTAATTTCTCATGGAATTATGGTCAAGTCTGAGAACCGTTATTTCATTTCCAAAACATGTCAGAAATGTTAAAAAGAACAATGAAGACAGGAGGTCATGTGGTGGAATGAACAAAGGGACTTTTTAAGGGTTTGATTCAAGTCTCTGGGTAGATAAAGAGCATCTAAATAAGCAGAAAACTGAAATGGTTTCACTCGAAAAGGTCAAGCTGCCAAAGAAATTACTGATTCTGTTAAAAGGTTCGGAGAATCTGAAGATTTGCTCCGTACTCCTGGGAGGAGAGATAAACCATGTTTGAAGGTTGACCATGAGAGAGCAGGCAAAAAATGTGAAATAAAATGCTACTGAAAGTACATTACAAGGTTTGGACAACTTCTGAAAACCAGTTCTGAAAACCATTCAGTGGTCTGTCACATAAAAAATTAAACATTCTTCCTGGAAAGCATGAATTCAAACATCCAAGTCAAAGAGAAGAGCGACTGTCTGCCTTCACAGATAATAACAGCCAGCGTCTGACAGAGCATGAGTAATCCCTTTTCTTCTTGGATACTGACTGATGATACATCCAAAGCTAAATAAATATAAGACCCTGAGTAACAAAAACGCTGCTAGTCAGAGCAGACCTGCTTTCCAGGAAGGCCCGCTTTATTTCAGACACATGCTGCACATTTTGTTGTGCAGTAATAAAGTAAACTCAGACTTTCTACAGCCCACACCGAATACTGAAAATATTTGTTGAATTGTGCAATGAAAGCTGTTATAAACAGGATTTCAGCTGTTAAGCACTTTCATTTCTCAACAGAAAGCTGACAGACAAATTGAAGGGTGATGCACATCCAGGGCCTAGAGTAAAGTCTTGATACCATCTGAACCATTTCCAAAGTTTTCATGTTAAGGCTGCACATTTACACAGATTTAGTGTGGAATTTAAAGGTCTAGGACTGAGTCTGCAACCTTTCTAATTCTAAGAGCCATTTTACCCCCCAAGCCCAGCCAAATAAAAAGTAAGCAAATAAAGCTGAAAATAAACAATTTTTTTTTTAACTTATATCTGCAATTGAAAATCTGTTGCCATTTTAAAGAGCAAACAATTATTTGCATTTTTAGGTTTTAAAATACAGATTAAACATGAAAGTTGCATAGAGTAAGCAATGATTTTGTATTTTGTTCAATAATTTCATGATAAAAACACATACTTTCCAAGCCAATGAAAGAAAAAAAATATATATAAAAAACATATTTATGATTCCTTAATGCCATTTTGCAGGGAAATTTAAATTCTAATGTTCCTTTGAAACAGGTGAGCTTGAAAGAACACATTTAATATACTATATTCAAAACCATTAGAAGGCCCTGGTTTTTAGCCACTATAAAGAGCCATTATTGTAGAGGGTCCAAGGAGCTGCAGGTTGCAGAGCCCTGGTGTATATTACATGGTCCCTAGATTTTAAACATTTCACAGAAAAGTGATAAACCCATCATCTGAAAAATGGAAACACAGCAGCAGAAGTGTAAAAATATCAAAACATGGCTGCTCACCCAAACTGGAGAAATAATTTATCTTGGAAGCAACCAAGTTGACCGTAGGGGTGAGATGATCTACAGCTCAGGTGGGAGAAGGAAGAGGCCACCTTTGGTCAGCAGAAAATAAAAACTGTACAACTGAATTCTTGTGGTTAAACATGGTGATTGCAGTATTATTCTGTTAGAACACCAACTTCTATTAATATTTATGAACAGATCTACAGATCCCAGTTTTTAGGGTTACATTTTAAAGAGCTTCACACCACTGGAGGCAGGATTGTAGAGTCATTATATTATTTTATTTTATTTTAGTTGCATGAAAGTGTGTTAGGGGTTTTAGGGGGGGGGGGGAAAGCATTTTAAGATATCAACATAGAATATTATTTATCATTTTAACTTTGATGTTGGAGAGTAAATGTTGCAGCTACCCTGGATTTGGTGCTGACAGGTGAGTCCATCTGTCCTCTGAATCACAGTTTTTCCCCCTTTGAATAATAGACAGGAAAGTTGGAATATACGACATTTATCTTAAAGAGAAACAAGGTGATGTCCATTAAGCTATAACTCAGTCTTTTAGGAGCGAAGAAACTCTTCACTCGAGTGAGAAACCCCCTGAAGCGTCTAAAGCCGATGATCCTGAAGGATGAAAGGACATTTCTCATATTAGTGCCTGCTTTTAGTAAAGAAATTATTTTTCAGAAAGTACAGGGTTGTTATTGCTAGCCTAAAGAGTAAGCATGTAGTTATATTAAAGGTACTGCACAGCCTAAGAGGGTTAAATATAAAATAGAGTACAGTAAACAGTCTTTATAAACAGTAAACAGCTGTCTTATAAAAATATTTCTGTAGGCTTTCTGAAAGTCTGAGTGGTCGTTGCGCTGTTTACCTGATGCATTCATTTTCCTTTAACTGGCTATTTTCATATGAATGTTCAACATTGTTTAGATTTTTCACAGATTGTCATATTACAACAAAAAAAAAAAGTGTTTTTTAGAGATGTAACAACACAAGGTAGTGAATGATTGCAGTGTAGTAGGGAAGGGATGAATTGTTACCCGTCTATATGTTTTCTTTTTGTATTATTCGGATATTCCTAAATAGAACTCAGGTGAACAAACTAATTGGTAAATAGAGCATACATGTTGAATTTTATTTTTGTACAGAACTAGCCATTCTGTGAAGGTTTGTTAGCTTATATGAGATGGCAAACATCACAGTGAAAAACGAAGAATTTAGCAGAGAGATCAGTAAGAAACCAACAAACTGAAAAAAACATCCTAAACACACTGTGCTCATGGTGAGACATGGTAGCAGCACCATCATGCTGTGGAAATGTTTTTCTTTAGTAATTCACATAAGTTGTTTATTGTTAGTCAGCAAAATAAAAGGAGCAAAATAAAATGCAATGCTTTGAAAAAAGAAATAGTAAAAGGCATCAGAAGATGTGAGACCGGGGCGGAGGTTCACCTTCCAGCAGGACATCGACCAAAAACAAAGTCAGAGCTACAAAATTGAAAAGTGGATAATCTCAGACAATCTCATTCTAAGCTTAAAGGATTGAAAAGACCCACCCTCTCTACTTTAAAAAAAAAAAAGCACATGCACAACCCTGTACCCGCTCCCGAGAGGAAACGCCGATAAAAGCGTGCAAGAGCATGAACTAGCCCATTTCTCCTTGTGGACGCTCTGTTTAAAAGTTGCAGCGC